TTTTGGGGAGTGTCATTGTCTTTCTGGCATTTCGGCCATTTTCTGTTAGAACAAGGCTTGCATGCACTGAAAGGCTTATACTTTGAGCACATGATATGTTGTGTTTACTTTCGGGACAAAGGTATCACTTCTGCAAAGAAGACTCTGCTTCTGACCACTACTCACGTCTGCTTTAGGGATGTTCCCGCTGCATTCATATGTTAATTGGTGATTTCTTTTCTTAATGCTTTATTTCATAGCAAGAAGTGCCACACAAAGACCTCGGACTGAATCAGTGGGTGACAATTTCAAATGATGGAATTAAAACACAATCTTTTATCCCCCCAAAGAAGAAAATAAATGATGAAATTTCTAAGTTGTTTCTCTAACACTGTGAAGGACTGCAATAGACTTTGTGAGAGACCGAGACAAATTATTTTATGCAGTTGTCTGCAATTTTTTACTTCCGGAGACGAGTAGATGAGTGTGTTGCTTTTTTAGCCAACAGACACCATGAAGAATTAGAAGGCAGGAAAGCAAACTGTGGCCACAGGTGCCTCATAAGGTCTGTCTCTCTTAATATAAGACTCTGTCCTAAGTTGCAAGCTTTGCCTGCAGCACATCCAGAACTGTTACCCTGCTATTCCAGTTCTTAATTCCTCTAGGCATATTCAATTAAAAATGGCCAAGCCTCTTATTCTTTCTGCTATGTGCCATCTGCTTTTTACTTCTTATAAATATCATTGTCTTTAAAAATAAATAAATAAAAACTTTTGCCAGGAGCAATTCTAGGATTTGTTTATGGTGGGTGGCATAAAACGGGCTATAATTGATACAGAGTGGGCAACATTATCATAGGCCAATGACATGTTTTGATTCAGTGAGTGACAGGGGGTACTCCGGGGGCCAATCAGCATTCAGTTGGGGCCAGACCCGCCCCTGTGCGCACTCGGTTATTCGCTGACAAAGCGAAGACGATGGTGTGAGCAGCTACAGATATTCCTGGGAAATAAAATGCATTAGTGTAATTAAAACGACACAGTAAAGAAGAACAAAAACTGGATTTATAATGAACCTGCAATGAATATTTATGTGTGACAATTTTGCATGATGGAGTGCAGGCCTTTAGGGGCAGCGGGGAAATGCAGAGTTGATGCAGGAAGGTTAAAAGAGATGCCTCGGTTTTATAAATTTAATGATTTGAATTATCCTATCTGTGAGTTGCCAATTAGCATTATTTCTGGGTATACAGTACAGATGACACTCTACAATTAAAATCCAGTTCATCATGGTTAATTCTATTTGCATTGTAAGAGAAGTGTGAGATTTCAGACTGAGGGGTAATTTGGGGGAGGGGGGTGTTGGTGGGTGGGTGGAGCTTGAAATCATGTCACGTTCTAGCAAATTCAACGGCCTTTAAGAGAAAATGTAGTAAGACATACAGACATGATCAGACCTGTGCAGATGCATGCCACTCACAGATGCTGCTAACCTGCTATTCTTGGCTCTCATCCCTGCAAATTGTTTATGACCTGGATAAAATCACATACCAACTGTGGCACAATAAAAAAAAAAACACACAAAAAACCTCTAGTCCTCATCCAGCTCTATTTTACTTTTGCCATATGATTCCTTATAAATTAAATGTGATTCCAAAACATTCTGTTTCTGGCCCCATGTGATATAATTTGTTCTGAGCCTTAATCTTTATTATGGTATTATTTTATCTTACGTCAGCCTTCATCTTGCATTTATCTTGCTGTGTAACATAGTTGGGCTACACCTTTCTTGCTCTGTTTTAAAGCACATTTTCTTTGAAAAGACAAAACTGCAATTTGTTGAGAAAAAAGTTGAAAAACTTTTTGAATATTTATTTCAGTTCTAGCTACACTATATTGCCAAAAGTATTGGGACACCTGCCTTTACACACACAAGAACTTTAAATGACATCACTCCCATTCTTAATACATAGGCTTTTATATAGAGTTGGCCCACCCTTTTGCTTCTATAACAGCTTCAACTCTTCTGGAAAGGCAGTCCACAAGGTTTAGGAGTGTGTTTATGGGAATTTTGAACCATTATTCCAGGAGAGCGTTTGGGAGGTCAGGCACTGATGTTGAATGAGAAGGCCTGGCACGCAGTCTCTGCTCTAATTCATCTTAAAGGTGTTCATTCGGGTTGAGGTCAGGGCTCTGTGAAGGCCAGTCAAGTTCCTCCACACCAGACTCACTCATCCATGTCCTTATCAACCTTGCTTTGTGCACTGGTGCGCAGTCATGTTGGAACAGGAAGGGGCCATCCCCAAACTGTTCCCACAAAGTTAGGAGCATGAAATTGCCCAAAATGGCTTTGAATGGTGCAGCATTAAGAGTTCCATTCACTGGAACTAATGGGCCAAGCCCAACCCCTGAAAAGCCCCACACCATAATCCCCTCCACCAAACTTCACATATGGCACAATGCAGTCAGGCAAGTACCGTTCTCCTGGCAACCGCCAAACCCAGACTCGTCTATTGGATTGCCTGACAGAGAAGCGTGATTCGTCACTCTACAGAACACGTCTCCACTGTTCTAGAGTCCAATGGCAGTGTGCTTTACACCACTGCATCTGACGCTTTGCATTGCACTTGGTGATGTAAGGCTTGGATGCAGCTGACTAGCTATGGAAACCCATTCCATGAAGTTCTCTACACATGGTGCTTCAGCTAATCTGAAGGCCACATGAAGTTGTGAGATCTGTAGCTATTGACTCTGCAGTCAGTTGGTTCTGCACACTGTGCACCTCAGCATTCATTGTCCCTGCTCTGTGATTTTATGTGGCCTACCACTTTGTGGCCAAGTTGCTGTTGTTACAAATTGCTTCCACTTTCTTATAATACCACTGAAAGCTGACTGTGGAATATTTACTAGCAAGGAAATTTCACAAATGAACTTATTGCACAGGCAGAATCCTATCACGGTACCACACTCAAATTCACAGAGCTCCTAAGAGCAACCGATTCCTTCTCAAATGTTTGTAGAAGCAGTCTGCATGCCTAGGTGCTTGATTTTATACACCTGTAGCTATGTAAGTGATTGGAACACATGAATTCAATGATTTGGAGGGGTGTCCCAATACTTTTGGCAATATAATGTATATTTGAACCATAGCAAAGGGGTCATATTTCTGGATTAATTTATTCTCTGAAATTTAAAATATAATATATGTAATAGATTTTAAGCATAATTACCTTTTTCAAAATAACCAATGATTTAATTAACTTTTCTCCAGCTCTACTGCAATTTTATTCAATCAAGAAAAGATATTTTGAATTAAGTTTAAACTGGGCACAGAGCATGATTATAACAGATGTTACTTTTTGAAGATATCATTTTGTGGTTGTCAGAACATCCTGATTAATGACAGCCATGCAGAATATGGTTACTGTATCAAACAAATGCATTAAAAACCAGTGAAGTAAGCTTGATGGTCTAATACATAAATTCTTATTAATTTATTCTATATATACAAGTTTCCTCTAAAGTGTTTCAGATGTTATAAAATTTTGGTATGCTTTGGACAGATTCCAATCCTTTATTGGATAATTGTTAGGTCATAATACCATTAACTACACAAAGCAGCACCCTTATGATGTGCACAGTTAAATGATATTTGTTAATACTGAGTCAGGTTTGGCGGGTAAGTGCACACAATCTATTGTCACAGTTACATACCTGGAGGGGTAGGCCAAAAACAATAACAGCTCACTGAAGCATCCCATATTAACAGTGTGGAGTCATGGGAACAATGAAGTTATCACTATGCGGTGCAATCATCTATCTCCAGAGATTGTTGAAGACACAGTGCTATACATAAGTTTAATTCTATACTCAGTACTTTCTATTTGAAAGTCAGCACGCATCCTTCAATTACTGATGCATAATGGGCACAAAGATTGCTTTGGTTTAATCACTTAGAGGACTAATCTGATTTTTTTGTTTTCATATTTCCCCACCTTAAAAAGCACCATGGCCTCCACAAGACAGATACAAATAAGATGTTTACAGGGGAAATGCTTCAGAATATTTCTTTTTGTTTTCGGTGGTTGTGACTCAGCTGCTGGTATTGTGGCCTCTAGCCCTGTGATTCCTAAGTTATTCCTAAGAATTCCTGGCCCAGGTGCTCTATGTCTCCCACCCTGTGATTCTTAGGTTATTCCTAAAAATATCTGGTCCGAGTGCTTGCTGTCTCCTGCCCTCTGATTCTTAAATTATTCGTAAGGATTCACATCCCGGTGCTCCCCGTCTCCCCGTCTATGATTCTTAGGTTATTCCTAAGAATTCCCAACTAAGGAACTCCCTGTCTCCCACCCTGTGATTCTCAGATTATTCTTACAAATACATGGCCCAGGTGCTTCCTGTCTCCTGCCCTAAGTTATTCAAGATTCAAGATCCTTTAATTGTCACATGCATAGTCATACAGGTACAACATGCAGTGAAATGTATCCTGAACCACTCTTTTGACTGTGCAACTGTTACAAAGGACATGAAAAGAAAAAAAAGGATAAATAACTAACTTTGACTATAATATGGATTTGAAGCAGATTTACAGATGTGCAATATGCAGTTATAAGTTATAAAGTAAAGTGCATTGTATGGAATAATGACAATGAGTATGAGACCCTGAGGTTGCTGTCCAGTATAGTATAAAAGTACTATAATAATATACTATAACACCGTGTAGAGAGAGAGGGGCGTGTCCTGATTGAGGAATCAGATGGCTTGGGGATAAAAACTCCTTCTGAGTCTTTCTGTCTTGGCCATGATGTTGCGGAACCTTCTGCCTGATTGCAGAAGCTGAAATAGTTTGTTACCAGGATGAGAATGGTCTTTTACAATCCTTATGGCTCTGGATCTACATCTCCTTGTGTAGATGACCTGCAGTGAAGGGAGAGCTGACCTGCAGCAGCGTTCCGCTGCACGGATCACTCTCTGAGAATTCCCGGTCCAGATACTCCCTGACACCCACTCTGTGATTCCTAGGTTATTCCTAAGAATACCCAGCCCGGGTCCTCCCAGTCTCCTGACCTGTGGTTATTGGGTTATTCCAAAGAATACTCGTTCCAGGTGCTCCTCCTCTCCCACCCTGCATTATTCCTAAGAATAACCTTTAGCCAGGAACAAAACCTATTGTTTGAAGTGATTGACTGATTGCTACCTGAAAATTAACATGTCTTAATGTGTAAATACTTTTTGTGGCTATTCGCACATTCTACTGAACGTCAAGTAGAAATTAAAATCAAATATCCAAAATTGGTTTTTATAATAATCAATACTGTGTTCTTTGGGTTTTAGGAGAAAAATATAAGCAGGAGCTTATATGTTTCTGGAAAACAACTAATTTTGTGAAGTTTTGAGACACTCGGTGGGGCACAGGCTTCGCTGCAGCCCCCACCCTCTGCCCCCTCCAGGCCATTTTAATATGTTTACTCTGAATCTTCTAATTAACACCCCACATCTTGTGTTTCATTTCATTCCCTTAACATTTTAACCCACTTGATAGTCATGAACGCAAACACATTCATAAGATTTAAGGTTCACTTCCCAGGAGCCCCCTGCTCATATCCTCATGAGCAAAGCATATAGCCTGAATTGCTTGAGTACATATCCTGTGGCATAACGTGTTGAACTGCAGGCTATGTAAGCAGACTTAAAATAACATTCTCTCAAAGGACATAAATAATGCAAGTCACCTTAATCCCTGTCTCTTCATTTGGTAACGTTCCCCCATGTATTTATGCAAACCCTGCCACAAGCTCTTCTTTGAACACCCAAACATGAGGAGCATAGATAAACCCTCACATCACTATGTCTGTTGAAATGGTCATTCCCCACTCAGTTCCATTCACATCATGCTACATCTGTGTTCCCCGGGAAAAGCATCGGAAGATGCCTGTGCAGTTCCCCTGTGGCAGGGCACTTTAAATCTGGACCTCAATTCCAAATCCAGGCCTTGTTTTAATTCTTCCAGGTAGTTAGTTTAATAATTGCTGATTCTGATTTGCTATAGAGGCTTCACACCCAGCTCACTTGTAAAGGAAGGCTGGAAAATCGGCAGGGCTCGGATTTTGAGGATTGTGATTTGAATAACCCTGCCATATGGTGTGCCTATGCAGTCCCCCTATGGTGTTCCTGCCCAGTCCCCCTATGGTGTTCCTGCCCAGTCCCCCTATGGTGTTCCTGTGCACTCCCCCTATGGTGTTCCTGTGCACTCCCCCTATGGTGTTCCTGCCCAGTCCCCCTATGGTGTTCCTGTGCACTCCCCCTATGGTGTTCCTGCCCAGTCCCCCTACGGTGTTCCTG